AGACTGCAAGTTGTCACGTTCATGTCCTGAAATAGAACCTCTCAATATGCCTAGTAAGTTATTTGATCTAACTACCAGTACCCAAGCTAAGATTTGACATTTTTGTGTGTGTACGCATCTAAGATCACATTTATTGAGTATTTACAAAATTTGAAGCGTACTTGTACGCAATAGACTTAATAGGAATTGAGTTTTCAAATAAATATTTACGTAATTTACGCAGATACGCATCTTATCTGCACCTCTGCAATTATTTTCAAAGGGAATAATTATCAACAATTGTAGGATATTGGTCTGTAATGGTTGTTCCCGGCTGTTAAGTTAGTACTGTCCGGATGTTAATCACGGAAGTAGGAGAGCAGAAGTGGTGCGTTTTTGTCTGTTGTGAGATGGCGACCAGTAAACGATGTCAGCCGATCTTGTCTCTTGTTATCGCTGAGTAGTTCAGGATCGAAGGGTCTACGGACAAGTACACAACAGATAAATGGCGACGAGGATGGGATCCACGGATTCCTTGTTGTAAGTCTATGAAGGATACGTGTTTCATAGTGAACTTTTCACTCGAAGTGAAGTGATGTTACTGGTCGCCATCTCGCTAAAAGGGACCACGCGACCCGACCATGTGCTTTCGGGAAGCTTCGTTGACAAACATTAACTTTTATTTTGCTAAGGCGGAATATCCACAGAAAAGTTAAAGTGAGGTTGCAATCATCTACATGAACATTGCATTATATATTCTACATAAATATAGTGAAAAAGTACATGTACTCTACGTGAATGCAGTATCAATGTTGGAACTTTGGAAAATATTCTACGTGAATATTATGAATAATTGTCACTTGTCAAAGAGAAGTTTCCTCATTTAGACGGATAACGTGAACTTCTGTGAATCTATGTATCATTAATACTGTTGCTGGTTTCGAGTGTGAATCATGAGTCAAGACGAAGGCCCAGGTGACCAAGGAGTGCCTCAAGTAAACTTTTCACTTATTCCTATTCCTAAATTCTCTGGGAAAAAGGAGGATTTTAGTATCTATGCAGAACGTTTCATCTCAAGCATGGAAGCTAACAAGATCACAGATGCAAAACGGATTACCCATACACTTATCTCAACAATGGGTGATGAATTGTATAAACTGGCACATGACTTGTTCGCACCTGTCAAGGTGTCTACACTCAAGAGTGAGGACATCATTGAGAAATTAACACAGCATTTGAACCCTCCTCCGAGCATCATTAAGTGATACGTCGGCGACTGTTACAGGAGGATGCTAAGATGACCTTCGACAAGGCCTACCAACTTGCCGTTGGAATGGAAACTGCCACCAAGGAGGCAAAGAGTCTGCAGCAAGGTCAAGGACATGCAGTGAATAAGATGATATATAACAAGGGCAATAAAGGCCGTGGATTCAAGAGGGACCAGATGGATAAGAAGCCAGGTAACCATGGTAACAAGGGGCCAGAGACTGAGCTTAACCAGTGTACTCGTTGTTTGTCGACTAGGCACTCTCCACCGAACTGTCCATATAAGGATACTGTTTGTAACTTTTGTCGCAAGAAAGGACACTTGATACGAGCTTGTAGGAACCGCTCGAACAGAAATCAATCTCAAGTTGGTAAGACCAACATGGTGGATCACTGTATCAGATGAATTCACAGAATTGTACATGGTGTCCTCAGTTAGTCAAGGTGGAACACAGAAAATAAAACAATCACTTAAAGTGGATGACAGAATGGTTGAATTTGAAGTGGACACAGGATCAAGTGTCACATTGATAAATCAAGGGATGTATAATTCCTTGTTCCCGGACAAAGAACTTTTGGAAAGTTCATGTGTACTGAAGGCTTATAATGGGCAAAGCATACCTGTAAATGGACAATTACAAGTGGAAGTTGACATGAATGAGAAGATACTGGAGTTATCTCTCATTGTAGTGGATGGTACAGGTCCAGCACTACTGGGTCGAGACTGGCTACAGCATATGATGTCATGGCAACACATGTTCACGAACAGTATTGCTAATTCCTCGCAGGAGGAGGATGTCACCGAGATATTGAATGACTATCAGGAAGTCTTTGATGAAGGACTTGGACATTTGAAGGACTTTAAAGTCAGATTGTCAGTACAAGACAACGCTGTTCCGGTATTCTGTAAGGTCAGGAATGTACCTTTAGCTCTACGCCAGAAGGTAGATGCAGAAATTGATAGGATGGAATCCGAAGACATCATAAGGAAGGTTGGGTTCCAGTGGTTAAACCATCAGGTGAGGTTCGTCTCTGTGGAGATTATTAATCAACTGTGAATCTGTTCTCCAAAACGGACATTCACCCGATTCCTAAAGTGGATGAACTGTTGGCAAATCTGAGTGGTGGTGAAGAATTTACGAAGCTAGATCTTCGTCATGCATACCTACAGTTGGAACTTGACGAACCATCAAAAGAGCCATAAACACAACAAAGGGTTTTTATCAATTCAACAGATTGCCATATGGTGTAAGTGCAGCACCTGCAGTGTTCCAACGAACAATAGAGATGGTGTTGAAAGGATTGATAGGACTTGTAATTTTCATGGATGACATATGCATAACAGGCAGAACCCGTACTCAACACAAGAGGAACTTGAAAGCAGTTCTCAAAGCTCTCAGGAGTGCAGGACTTAAACTTCGATTGGACAAGTGCAAGTTTTTCCTCAGCAAGGTTGAATTCCTTGGCTTCACGGTTGATAAGGATGGTATTCACCCTACACTTAGCAAAGTTTCTGCGATCAAAGAGGTGAATGAGCTGCTTTCCTATTTAGGAATGTTAAATCACTATTCCAAGTTCTTGCCGAACATGGCTACTAAGTGTGCACCATTGTATGATCTGTTGAAGAAGACTGCCACATGGAAATGGACGCAGGTTGAGCAGCAAGCATTTGAAGATTCCAAGTCTGATCTCACAAGTGATAGTCTTCTAATACACTATGACAGTGACAAGGAGATAGTTGTATCATGTGATGCATCTCCTTATGGCATAGGATGTGTACTTCAGCACCAAACGGAGGAAGGGGAAAAACCTGTCACTTTTGCATCACGCAAGCTCAATTCCGCAGAGAAAAACTATTCTCAACTGGAAAAAGAGGCATTGGCCCTTATCTTCGCGGTCACTAAATTCCGACAATACCATCTGGGTTTTTTGTTTTTGTACCTCTCGGAAGAAATAGTTAAAAAAACTAGAGGGGGTGATGTAGGATATTGGTCTGTAATGGTTGTTCCCGGCTGTTAAGTTAGTACTGTCCGGATGTTAATCACGGAAGTAGGAGAGCGGAAGTGGTGCGTTTTTGTCTGTTGTGAGATGGCGACCAGTAAACGATGTCAACCGATCTTGTCTCTTGTTATCGCTGAGTAGTTCAGGATCGAAGGGTCTACGGACAAGTACACATCAACAATTAGCCATAACCCATCAATATTTTACAAAAACAAATTTTACTTTTGGTGAAATAAAGGTACATTTTACTGAAAAAGATTTGTTACTGTCAACTGCCAAAGATGGAAATTAATCTGTCAAACACATTTTATGGACTAAATACATTACTCTCAATACATCCGCAATTTTTTAAGTTATACACATATCAAAGCAAATGAGTGACAATGTCATTCCTTCAATACAATTCGTTCATAGCTTTGAAATTATCATTTATAGAAAGACCAAAATATAATTGGACATGTAAAGATACATGGAAAACTAAAAGCAATTTCAAAACAATTTCACTGAAAATGATATTAAATATGGATCTATTGTTTCAGAATATTCCTTGGCAAAATGCATGACAAATTAGTAAATTACTCTCACCTATCACCTCAAACTTCCTTTACAAAATAGTGGCATTTCAGCATATCATATTCAGTCAATCGTTCACCTCAAATCTTTAATGAAATGTAGATATTTTGGTAATTATATCAACATTTATATACATGTTATTTGTATGTCAATTCAGTAGCATAGAAGGGGTATATATTTACTGTATCAGTTTAGTTTGCATAATATTAGTGCACAGCAAAGTGTAAGTAAGCAATGTTTATTAAGTAGTATTCATGGTTGAAGTTGTATACTGTCCAGACATAATTTCAGCATATTAATCATGTCACATGTTTATCAAGGCATAAGTTTTTGCTTTATGCATTATGCTATATGTTGCCTAAAACTGTTTGACAAAAAGTCAAAATAACCGTTTTCATAACATCTTTTACCAGAAACAAACGTGTACATAAAGCACATATTTATTTGTATAGTTTGACAATATCGTGAAACGATGTTACACTTTTATTTCTATGCATCAAAATCAATGACAAGAAAACTGTCATATACATCTTGACACAAGACAAAACTTCTCTTTGGAAACGCCCACTTTGAAGCACAAGGGAGATCTGGAAATTGACAACCTACTTGACAGGCGGTCATAGCGTTGAGAAATGAATAATGCAATAACGCAATCGACATATGTTTCGTCATATAACTATGCACCAATTGCACACAAAAAGTACACACCTGCATAATTGTTTGCTTGGGCAAACTGGATTTCACCATCATTTGCACGAATAGTTCTCGGTCGACATGTTCTTGATTTGGACAGACGATCTCATAAACCTCGCGATATAGAGGAGGGACCGACCCTGAAAATAAAGACAACATTACAATGGGTGATTTCACTAACACAGTGTGTAATTCACACAGCTGAAAATCCTGACAGCCGATAAGCGCATCAGGTGTGGCTGTTGCAACACGCCTCCCGCTTACCAGATACAAGGTCGGCCGACATCTTGAATGGGTCATGTGATCAGTAAATTATAGCCTCAAACTATGCTTATTAATTTAAAAACATTCCCTAATATGTATAAATCGAAGGTCCTAATAATCAGAGTTTCAATGACCTGCATGAAATGGTAACAAATGTAGCAAACATATTTTATACTTATATGTCAATGCCCAGCAAATCACTTTGGTACGAGGTTAGAGGTTATTTTCATGGTTGTTATGTTTATATCCAAGTAACATTGAATGAAATTATCGAACAGTTGACATGTCGGGTGCATCATTGTTAACGCGGTCACGTTAAGCTGTTTTGGTTATCATAACGAACATCGTTAAAAAAATTGGTCTGATAAAAGACAGTCGACTTACATGTTGTTGGCGAAACGGGCACCTGCCGGTTTCTGAGATCAAGCGAAGTCTAGTCTTAGAAACCAGTCCAGACACGAGGATGTAAGCGTGGAAATCACCGGCAAAAACAATATGTCTCGCAAAACACAGGTGAGCATTTCTCTGACATTCTCTTATATGCGCTGAACATATTTTATGAATATCTATCTTTCAGTATTCGCATTATGTTGCAAAACATTTGGGCATATGTGTTGCTGTTCAAGCATAATTTACTGGCAGGCATAATCAAAAATTGGTATGACAGTGACTTAAAGAGCCCTGTCTGCTCTTTGTGTTATTAGTGTTATTAGTAGAACTTAAGCACATTTTATTTTGACTATAAGTAAAGTGTCCTTTTGGGCATGTTCAGCTTCCAGTCACATTTACCATGGTTCAGATTTATTTTGACAGAATAGCACTGAAAACTGAAGTATACGCCATTGTTGTTAAGTTATATGTCATGTCTGGAGATGTCCTAGGAAGACTCAGATAACATGAAACTGTGGTGGGAGACGAACACTTTATTCCATGTTGGTTTTGCCTTGGCCTACACAGACGCACGCTACCCATGGACCAGTCGTTGTGTACAGACTCTTAGGGAGTAATCATTATGCAACATCTCCCTTTCTTTAGAAAAGTAAAGATAGCAATTAACACACTATCCCAGCAAACAGTTTAAACAAATGCTAAACAAGTTACAATGAACAAATTAAAGTCTATATCTCTTTCTTGAGAAATTAAAAGTCTTTGCTAATAAGCAGGACCACCGTCATATCTTCCTCCTTTTTTTCTTTTTGGGCACAAAGTCCCTGTATCGGGTGGTGGTCTGACCACCCTGCCTCTCTCGTTCTGATCTCATGACCAGGTGCTGTGCCATGAACAGAACTGTCCATGATCCTAGTGTTCACAGGAGTGTTCACATCAAAGTCTACAGGAGTTTTCAAAATTTCACAGGAGTTTTCACAGGGGTTTTCACAGGAGTGTTACCAGGGAGTTCACAGTTGACTGAAACTCTTTCATTGACCTTTCATCCATTCTCTGCTCTTCAAAATCAGTTCGACATCTTTAGTCTCAGGGGCAGCCTCTTGAGATTTTCTTAGATGGCGTCTATTTCTCGAAGAGATCTTCCATCTTCTGTCGCGTTATGTCATACGATCGTTACATCCACTTGTTCTACAACAGCTTTCTTCCATTTCTTTTGTCACGACTGAATGGCTTCACCGAACTACATCTCCATCTCTCAGTTCTGAAAGTTCAGCTGCACGCGGTGTAGTAGTAAGCTTGTTTGGACCTCTTGGCGAAGAAGTGCGGCGGGGCGTTTTCAATAGTTTTCGGCTGCGGCAATCGACTTGGCGTTGGTAGCTTCGTTCTCGTTCTGCTTCCAAACAACCTTTGAACTGGCGGCTGCCTACACCGTCCAGTCGGCACATTTCTTAAGTCCAATAGGGCCAGAAGGGGTCTGACTGTGCATGCTGAGACTTACTCATGAGTCTCTTGGCGATCTTCACAGCACTCTCCACTTTCCCATTGACTGTGGGTACCTGGGTGATGAAGTGATATGATCAAACTTCGTGCTCTGTTGCAAATGTATGGAAGCTTCAGAATTAAAGGGAGGTCCATTGTCTGACACAATCTGATTGGGAAGTCCATGCCTGCATGCCAAATGGGATTTCAACTTTTTAATGATTTCAGGTGCCCTTTTATCATGCAGTCTGTCAACCTCAAAATAGTCCAGAGTAGTAGTCAACAGTGATCAAAAAATCTTTTGATCAAACTCAAAAGATCACACCCTAGTTTCTCCCATGGGCGACTAGGTATTTCATGACTGACCAATGGCTCGTCTTTTTGATCCTGTTGCAGCGTATTGCAAGTATCACACTTGCTGATGAAATCTGTGAGGTCAGCGGCCATATTGGGCCAATACACAGACTCTCTGGCTCTTCTGATACAACCTTGTATCCCCAAGTGACTGTAGTGAATTCTTTCCATGATGCCAGGGCGGATACTGACTGGCACAACAACACGTTCACCCTTGAACACTATGCCGTTTTGAACAGAGAGCTCATGTGAAAGGAAAAAGACCCTGGCACACCATGGCACATCATCTGGCGGCGTTGGCCAGCCGTCCTGAATCAGATCCTTCAGTATCGTCATTGATTTGTCTTCCACAGTTGCTTTTGTAACTGGTCAATTCGTTCCTCAGATATTGGCACATACTCAACCATGTTGATGGATTCAGCGTCAAAGCTGTCTGACATCGCACATCAACAGCAAACACATCTCCGTCATCAGTCTCAGTATGTTTCACATGTGGAAGATATGCTCTACTCAGAGTGTCAGCAAAGAACATTTGAGATCCCCTCTTGTAGATGACCTCAAAATCGTGCTTCTGAAGTCGTAACATCATGCGTTGGAGGCGGCTTGAACACACAACAGACTTTTCGCGCGGTATTGACTCAATGGCTTGTGGTCGATTCCACGACGACCTTCAGTCCGTAGACATACTGTTCAAATCGTTCCATGCCAAAGACAATGTAACATTTCTTTCTCTATCTGAGCATATTGTTTCTCAGTGTTGGTCAAAGATCGAGATGCATATGCTACAGGCTGACCATTTTGGATCAGACAAACACCCAGTCCATTTTGTGATGCATCACACTGAAGGCTTGTCACCGGCGTCATTGTCAAAGTACTTCAGTACAGGTGGTTCAGACAGAATATCGTTTGATTTTTTCCAAACACTTGCCATGAACTTGCTCATCCCACCTGAAGTTCACATCACTTTTCAACAGATCCTCAGAGGTGCAGTCACTTCAGACAAGTTGGGTACAAATTTCTGAACAAAGTTCACCATCCCTAAAATCGCTGAATACCCTGCTTATCCGTTGGTGTGGGCATGTTTGTGATTGCTTCAACTTTCATGTGATCAATCTTTAATCCATCGAGGTTACGACATGTCCCAGATAAGGCACCTCGGTCAGTTTCAGTTTCAGTTTGGATCTGTTCAGTTTGATATTTCTGTTCCTGCATCGATCAAGGAACTTGGACAACTTCTCATCATGATCAGCTTCAGCCACTTCATAAGTGTCTCCAACACCATAGATCAGAACATCATCATGTACAGCGCGTACTCCATCAAACCACATATTGCCTCATTCAAGCGGCTGAAACTCCTCAGGTGCTGGTGACAACCGAATGGCATTAAGTAGCCAGCGGTATTTAAGGTGTTTCAAATGTTGTCAAGAAACTGCTTTCCTCCTCAAGCTGGATATGCCAAAATCCATTTTAGCATCTGCTAAAGTAAAGCACTTAGCGTTTGATAATTCTGGCAGAATGTCATCAATTGTCTTTATTGGATAATGATTCCTCTTGAGAGCTTGATTCAGTGGTTTAGGATCTATGCAAATCCTTATCTTGTCAGTACCCTGTTTCTTGACCACAACAAGGGCAGAGATCCAGTCAGTAGGAACATTCACAGGGGTGATGATCTTCAGATCAGCCAGTCTTTCAAGTTCAGCCTTGAGTTTCTGTTGTAAGGCAAGTGGAACCTTCACGACATGGTAGCTGGACTGGTGTCACAGTCTCATCTACTTCAAAGCGCAACAAGCCATCAAGTGTGCCTCTCTCAAATACATCCTTGTAGCGATGGATTATGTCCGTGGGTCAATCTTGCTAACTCTGTAGAAACATCCCACTACCTGAGATCTGGAAAATGTTCTCAAAGTTCACAGTGATTAGCTGCATTTGTTGAACAGCTATTGCACCAAGTATTGGTGGTGAGCCTCTGTCCCTCGTTATCAAGAATTCAATGGTGTATTCACCCTGATTCCTGGGATTTTTGACAGTCACTTCACACTTGCCAACAGTTTGAGATTTCACTCCATTGTACATTCGAAGAGTAGTATTGACCTGTGTTTCCAACTTTTCCAGGTGGGGATCCTGAAACACATTAAGCGTAGATAGTCTCTGGCAACATTGACAGTAGATCCACAATCTAGCTGAAATTTGACCTCAGTTTCCTTGATGAGGAGGACAGCAAAAATCTTCCGTAAATACTGTTGACTTTCACCATGTAATTGAACACTGTTCACATTTTCAACATCCACTGATAAAATATATTCATCCTCAGTATCCTCATCACTCAGTAGTTGAACATTGGCTTGACTCGACTGGCACACATAAGCAAAATGATTTGGTCGCGTTTACATTTGTTGCAAATTCTTCCCCATGCTGGACATTCCTTCCTGCCGAACACATGACTCGCGCCCACAAAATTTGCACTGTAGAGACTGATCACTTCTGGTAGTCAATCCAGGTTTAGTTTCCTTTCCTTTGGGTTTTTGTAACCTCTAGTTTTACTGATAGCTTGCACATCCTCAGTGTTTGATAGAGATTTTAGTCTAGCAGCTGCTCTCATGGGACCTACAGATGTCAATACAATCTTTCAGTGATAGGTTCGAAGACTGCAGCAGTCTCTTGCAGTGGAGTTATCACAAATGCCCATCACCATTCGATCCCTGATGAGACTATCTTCAAGCGTTCCATAATTGCATGTTTTAGCTAGAGTCCTAAGTGTTGCTACATAAGTATCAACAGATTCAAAGTGTTCTTGATTCCGTTTGTTGAAATTGAACCGTTCCCATGTTTCATTGGTCTGCGCCAATGCAGTAAGCTTCTAGTTTGTCCAATATTTTCTCGACTTTCCTCCTATCATTTTCACTGTCGAACTGCAACCCATCCAATATGTCTAGAGTCTCAGAACCAATACAAGTTAACAGCGTAGCTGATCTGCATTCATCAGAATCTGTCTTTGTTAGAAGCAAGCTCATAGTTTCCCCACATTAGGTTTGAACTTTATGAAATTTCTCGTCAAATGTAGCCCTTCAGATCAAGCTTAGGAGGCAAAGGAATGTTCATAGGTGCGTGTATCACTTGTGGTGAAGGAATATTTCCACTTTCATCAGCCATGATTGAGTAGTAGTAGCAGTAGTTTAAGCTTGTCCATATATTACTCCGCGACTAGCAATATAATCCGATTCACAGAAACTCCGTTAGTCACAGATTCAATATTGTCACACAAAACACCGCATGCTCTCCACTATCGAAATTAG